GGGGAGAGGTTGGAGTGGGTGAGAGGGGTGGAGAGGTTGAGGCGATTGATGTCTCGACGGCAGTTGGAGATGAAGAGGTCGAGGGAGGGTAGGAGGCCTTGGAGTGGTGTCCAGGAGGAGGGGGTGTGTTGGAAGCGGGAGAAGGGGTCAGTAGAGGGAGGGTTAGGTTCACGGTTAAAGAAGTAAGCGTGGAGGCGGAGGCGGCGGAAAAACTGTCCTGTTCCAGTTTAGGGGGATATGGTGACCTACCATCCCAGGTTTCGTGACTGGACTGGTGTCTCAACTGCTAGAGTGAGGAAGCTGTGACCCTTTTTCAGGCAGTGGAGGTAGAGGCCCTCGCCTGGGCATGCACCTCTTTAAGTGCTGTAACTTTCAGGGCTATAGATCAGATGCTAGAAAGTGGGACTGGGTTGAGTAGGATAGATGCGATGGTCCAAATCATCCCTGTTTGTGCAATTAGTTTTCCATCATTGCATCTTTCTTTGAAGACAAACTTTCACCTTGTGGTCCACTGTGACATGTGGCAGCAAAGCTATACCCTCCACGCAATATCCTCCCACCTGACAGGTTTGGCAGCTGTGTCCCCCACCACTTGCCGTTACTTACAAAATCCCAACTGCCAAAATGTCCCTTATTTATTTTTCAGGTGAGGCTGTAAACATTGTCATTCAACTGTTCATTTCATTTCCTTTATACTTGTAGCCATCCCACAAAACTTTCAGGATCAAGCGCTTCCTGGCCAAGAAGATGAAGCAAAACCGGCCAATTCCACAGTGGATCCGCATGAAAACCGGCAACAAGATCAGGTATGGGTTCAGGGGAGTCTGGCTTCTGACATTTGTGTCCCAGCTCATCTACTGAAATTCCCTCCCCCTCAGTCTTTAAAACTGACTTCGTTGGTCCAGCTTTTCACCTGCATTCCTTTGGCAGTTCAGCAGAGAATCAGAAACCAGTTTTCAGTGTGCTACAAAAGATCTTTGTTCATGTAACATTGGTACTGTGTGACTCAACCATCAGAGGCATACTTTCATGATCAGAACACATATGATTTGCATTTTTAAGGAAAAAATCCATGTCAGGAATCTTGTCTGATGGCCTGATTCGCATTGGATCATATCAGGCAGTTTAGGAAAGACCTGGTGAAAAGTGTCCAGTGTTGAGGCCTTTGCTTTGCTTAATGTTGAATATAATTATGGCTGTCCTGAAAATCCCCACACTGGTGTATCAGTGGGCAGTTGTTCCTGGTATTTTGCACAAAATTAAGTGATGTTTTGGTGTAAATGTATAAAATCCTGAGGTGAGCTGACAGTTTGGATGCCAAGAGGATGTTTCCCTTTTGAGGAATCTTGTACTAGATGATACAGTTTAAAGAGTCCTGAAGAAAGGTAATACCCGAACTGTTGACTGCTCCTTTCTTCCAGATGTTGCCTGGCCTGCTGGGTTCTTCCAGCCTCCTGATTGTCTACCTTGGATTCCAGCATCTGCAGTTTTTCTTGTCTCTGATACAATTTAAATATTTGGCTGGTCTCCAGTTTAGGTCAGATGAGGAATTACTTTCTCTCCCAGGACAGAAATCAATGCAGGTGGCAGAAGCATTGAATTTAGACAAGGCATCTTGGAGTTGAGGCTATGAAGGCCAGACAGGAAAGAGAAGTTAGACCATGGCTATGACCACTACAATCTCATTGAATGGAGGGACAGGTTAGAAGGCCTGAATGGCCCTAAATCATTTGTTCGTAATATCACGATATCGAGGATCCCATGCGCACTTTTCTTTCAAGCTTCTGGTGTTTGATCCTGTAATCATTTTACTTCAATCCCACCTTAAGTAGTAATCTTAACTGTTGTGAACATTTTTTTTTAATGCTCAAAAATTCATTCCAAGGTCTTCCCATGGGTATGCCAAGTTTGCAGGTGGCACAAAAATATATGGGAAGGCGAGTGGTGAGGATGATGCAAGGAGTCTGCAAATGGATAGAGACAGGTTTGGCTAGTCAGCAAAAGCCTTGTTAGATGGAATATAATGTGGTTTACACCACATTACACCAAAACATCACTTAATTTTGTGCAAAATGCCAGTAACGACTGCCCACTGATACCCCAGTGTGGGGATTTTCAGGACAGCTATAATTATGTTCAACATTAAACAAAGCAAAGGCCTCAACACTGGACACTTTTCACCAGGTCTTTCCTAAACTGCCTGATATGATACAATGCGAATCAGGCCATCAGACAAGATTCCTGATATAATGAGGTTATGCACTTTGGCAGGCAGAATAGAGGAGCTGAATATTAAATGGAGAAAGACTGCCAAAAGCTGCAGTACAGAGGGCTTTGGGAGTCCTCGTATGTAAATCACAGAAAGCTAGCATATAAGTTCAGTGGGTAACAGGGAAGACAAGCGGAATGTTGGCCTTTATTTCAAAGGGAATGGAGTATAAACATTGCTAAAATTATATAGAACAATTAGACCACTCCTAGAATACTGTGAACGGTTTTGGTCCCTTATGTAAGGAACGGTACAACTGGCATTGGAGACCGTCCACAAAGGTTCAACTAGGCTGATCCCAGATATGAAGGAATTGTCTCATAAGGAGTGGTTGAGGAAGTTGGAATTCTACTCATTGGACTTTAAAAGAACGAGATTCGATTTTAATTGAACATACAGGATTCTTGGGGGATTTGACATGGTAGACAGATGTGGAAAGGTTGTTTCTCTTGTGGGAGAGTCTAGTACCAGAGAGTAAAATTTCAGAAAAAAGCAGTTGCCTATTTAAGACAGGAGGAGGAATTCTTTTCTGAGGGTGGTGAAACTGTGGCATTCCTCACTACAGAGGGTTGTAGAGGTTTGGTTGTTAACTCTATTCAAGGCTGAGATGGATAGTTTTTAATCGATAAGGGAATCAAGGGTTATGAGAAAAAGGCAGCAAAGTAGAGTTGAAGATTATCAGCTGTGAAAGGCAGAGCAGAATCATTGGCCTATTCCTGCTCCTACATTTTATGATGTATAGAAGGTCCATGGCTTTGGTTCTTATAATTCCTGTTTGAATTGTATATGGAAAGAGCAGTAGTCTTATCAATTGGTGGAGCAGGCTCAAGGGGCCAAATGGCCGCCTCCTGCTCCCGATGCTGATGTTTTCTGTGTTGATGGCCGTTGTCTGCAGATTTGTGTATACTTGTACACAGATTATGTAAAAACAAAATACTACAGATGCTGGAAAACTGAAACACAGAATGCTGGAGAAACTCAGCATGTCTGGTAGCATCTGCGAGAGAGAGAAAAACGGAATTTTTGTTTTAAATCTGGCAGGACTCTTCTTCAGAGGAGGCTGTAAGAGGGAAGAAAAGATACACTTGCCATAGAGGGAGTGTAGCAAAGGTTCAACAGGCTGATTCCTGGGATTAAAAAACAAATCGCTGGAGAAACTCGGCAGGTCTGGCAGCATCTGTGGAGTGAAGGCAGGGTCAACATTTCAAGTCCAGTTCTGACCCTTCTTCAGAACATGAATATTCTATTTTAATGATTCCTGGGATGGTGGATTTATCATTCAAGAAGATAGTCAACTAGGCCTGTATTCACTGAAGTTTAGAACAATGAGGGAATCTCATTGTAACTTATAAAATTGTGATGAGGCTGGACAGATAGTCTTACTCTGATTGGGAAGTCTAAACCAGGGAGCACAGTCTGAGGATATGATAGACTATTTAGGACTGAGATGAGGAGAAATGTTTTTACTCAAATGGTGGTGCCCTGTGGAATTTTTTAAAACATAAGGTGGTGGAGACCAAATCAGCAAATATATTCAGAAAAGAAATAAACTTGTGGAGGCTAAAGGAATGGGGAGAGAGCAGGAATGTGGTGTTGAGCTAGAGGATCAGCCATGGTCAAATTGAACAGTGGAGGAGGCTTGATGGGCCAAATTGCCAACTCTTGCACCGATGTTTCTATAAAGAGCGGGTTGGGGTGAGGAGGAGGTTGCAGATGAGGCATGGAATCTTTTTTATTGTTTAAACCCCATCCTGTCATTCTAGTCTCATCAGGGGAAGTATGAATGTACAAAGTGGGTGTCCTTGTAAACCAGTCAGTGAATGTAGACAAGTTGTATACCAAGCAGTTAGGAAGGCATTTTGTATATTAGCCTTCATTACAAGAGGATTTGACTTCAGGGATGATGTGCTGCAGTTGTACAGGGCCTTGGTGAGATTGAACCTGGAATTATCATGTGTGCAGTTTTTTGGACTCCCTGCCTAAATAAGGATATACTTACCATAGAGGGAGTGCAACGAATGTTTGCTAAGCTGATAACGAAAATGCTGTATGAGGCGAGTTTGGCTCAATAGGGCCTGTGTTTTGTAGAAATTAGAGAATGAGAGGGGATCTGATGGAAACATACAAAAATCCAACAGGCTGGACAGACCAGATGTAGGCAAAAGGGGAGGTCTCATGTGGACGCAACTGCCCGGTGGCATTATCAGTGGACTGTTAATCCAGAAATCCAGATAACGTTCTGGGGACCTGGATTTGAATCCCACCACGGCAGGTGGCAACGCTTGAATTCAATAAAAATCTGGAATTAAGAGTCTAATGACAGTGAATCAATTGTCGATTTTGGAAAAACCCATCTGGTTCACTAATGTCCTTTAGGGAAGGAAACTGCCCTCTGAGCATTTAGGGGTGAGCACTAAATGCTGGTCTAGCTAGTGACTGTCTCATCCCATAAATGACAAAAGGATGTTTTCCTTAGCTAGGGGGTCTAGAACCAGGGAGCAGTCTCGGGACCATTTAGGCTGAGATGAGGGGAGCTTTCTTGACTCAGAGTAGCGAACCTGTAGAATTTTCTACCACAGAAGGCTTTGGAGGCCAAGTCATCGAATATATTCAAGAAGATACTAAAGGCATCAAGGGGTATGGGGAGAAAGCAATGAAAGAAAGTTTGGCATTGAGATAGCAGATCAGCCATAATCAGATTGAATAGCAGAACAGGCTTGAAGGGCCTATCCTCTCGCTTCTACATTTCTATGAAATATTCTTGCAGCATCCAAATAACTTCCCCTCTCATTCTTGTAATGTCCAATTGATACAGCTGAATCTGTCCAACCTTTCCTCAAAAGACAGTCGGCATTTAGATGACAACCAGTGACTTTTCCCTGGAAGCCCAAAGTCAGGTCTCGGCAAAAACTGGAGTGACTGAGCATGGTGATGTGTGGGTCATCACACTAATGGGTATCATTGCTAATTTGAGGCTTCACTGCTCAATTCAAATCAAACCGAAAATGTGATTTAAGGAGCTTTAGTAATTGCCTGTCAATAACATAGACTGTAGCATTGTATGTGCAGGTGAAGTGCATTCAGTACGTTGCTCCTTTGTACCACAGCATACAATGCTTACAGATTGTGTAGACTTAGCAGCATAACAGGATGCAGTGGGCTGGGAGCCATTTGTAGTCATACAACATGGAAATAGACTCTTGGTCCAACTTGTCAATGCTGACCAAGTTTCCCATCAAAATTTGCCTTACTCCAATTGAGAATATTAACTTTTGTGCAAGGCCTATCCTTTGCTATAAAGCTGCTTCTGTACTGTGTCAGGTAGAGTTCCTTGCACTGCTTGCTGCCGGATTGATTGTAGATCTGCCTGTATTTTGCATGGATGCTCCTTGGGTAGCAACGTTTTGGTTTTTAAAACAGGACATTGGCAGCTAGTTTTTGCTAATGCATCTCAGTTCTCTTCTGTCTTGTAGCTGACTGCTTAATGACGTATTATTTAAAATGAGACACTGCAGAAAGCTGCTACAGAAATGGATTTGTGAGTACTTGTGCATGAAATACAAAGCTAAAACACAGGTGCAGCAGGTAGGCTTAATGGAACGTTGGCTGTTATTTCAAGGGAGTTGCAGTTTAAAATAAAGAAGTCTTACAGCAACTGTACAAGGTGCTGGTGAGACCACATCTGGAGTGCTATAAGCAGTTTTGGTCCCCTTATTTAAGGAAAGATTTTATTTCATTGGAGGCTGTTCAGTCTGAAGGATAATTCCCTGTATGGAGGGATTGTCTCATGAGCAGAGATTAAACTGGGTGGAATCGACTGATTGGAATTTAGAAGAATGAAATGTGATCTCATTTAAACATATAAGATTCGTAAGGGGCTTGACAGGGTAAATTCTGAGGTTATTTCCCTTCATGGAACGGTCTAGGACCAGAGGGCATAGTCAGAATACAGGGGTGCTAATTTAAGACATTTGTGAAATTTCTTCTCCCAGAGGATTGATCACCTTTGGAACTGCTAGCTGCAGAAAGCTGTGGGGACAGAGTTCTTGGGTATATTTATGCCTGAGATAGATTCTCGATCTGTAGTGGAATCAAGGGTCATTGGGAAAAGGCAGGAAAGTGGAATGAGTGTTGGATCAGCCACGATCCAAATGAATGGCAGAACAGGTTTAAGGAGCCGAACAGCCTACTCCTTTTTTTAATATAGTCAAACTGTCTCTAGACTCTCCTGCTGGCCAGGGGCAAGGCTTCATTGCACCAATTTCCTCTTCTGAGCAGATTCTTAGCCTTTCTACACATCAGGAAAAAGCCCTTATCTCCACTCTTTCTTGACCATGAGCCAATTCTCTATCTATGCCAATATACTACCCCCAGTACCATGTACTGTTGTGAGGTGCCTTGGAAGTCAAAATACAGTGCATCTATTGTATCCACTCTGGTTGAGATTTCCTCAAGTCTCCAATGAATTAGTCAGATACTATTTCCCTTTCAGGAAAACATGTTGACTCTACTTGTTTACATTGATTTTACAAATGTTCTGCTATTATTTCCTTAATTCATTAAAATACTTTTCTGACAATAGATGTTCAGCTAATCACTGCAGGACTATACAGGTCTAGAGATTCGACAGATCTGGAGATCTCTACACTTGTACACCTATTTTGTCTTTTTGTGCCTATTTCTCATTGATTTGTAGCTTATCACGTCAAATCAGCGTGACACTATTCTGATACAAGTTAGACTGGATCTGGATCAAAATGTCTTTTACCAGGAGTGCTTGTGTTTTAATTGCAAAAGTAATCTTTTATTGCTGGCACAAAAGCAAATACTGTAGATGCTGGAAGCCTGAAATGAAAATACTAAATACTGGAAATGTTCAACCAATCTGGCAGTGTATGTGGGCAGAAATGGCTAATGTTTCAGGTGTCAGTTACCCCATTTCTGATCCAGAGTGTTTGGTAGAGCACTTCATATTTCAGATCAATGTGTAAAGCATTTTGACAAATTTTTGTTCTCTTTTCTCCATCTTGAAGGCAGGTCTGCAATTGCAGTACTTCTCTCCGTGATGTGCTGTCATTTATCCTGCTGAAATCAAAGGCTGTTGATGCTCTCTGTTTAGTCTTGCCTTCCAGTGGTGAGATCTGTTATAACAGCTACACGTCAAGGAAACCACATTGCATGTTACTAAAATGCAAATATTGGTTGAAATTTGTTCAATGGTTGCTTCTGCTCATGTTTGCATTTGGAGAGAACTAAAAGACCATAAGCTCTAATCTCAGCTGTTTCTTGTACATTATAGGTACAACTCCAAGCGGAGACACTGGAGAAGAACCAAACTGGGCCTGTAAAGGAATTCACCATTGGCACACAACCATCAGCAGCCATCTTCCCTGATCTCTTTCTCCTACAAAGTCATGGAAGTATGGATTTGAGCAAAGGTTGACCAAATACAAATGCAATTTTTTTCCCTGTTTCATGTTTTCTATTGTGGAAAATAAATATTGAGGTTGCTATCTGGTTGTCATTTACTGCAATTTAACATGAAGTACAATTATTGGTGTGCTTTGGCTCCACTTTGTGGGGTTTGGAAATTTGCTGAAACCAAACATTCTTCAGTGTTCAAAACAAATCCAAAAACTGCAGATGCTGAAAAATCAGCAACTTGAGCAGATCAGGCAGCATCTGTGGAGAGAAAGCAGAGCCCGAAATGTTTACAGCTTCTCCAGCAATTTTTCAAAGTAGGGTCACTGGACTGGAAATGTTAATGCTGCTTTCTCTCCACAGATGCTGTCTGACCTGCTGAGTTTCTCCAGCAAGTTCAGATTTAGATTCTTTAGTATTCATGAATTCCCAACTTCTCATAAGCATTAAACCATGAGCATACAATGACATTATCCAACTGTTTCTATTTCAGCTCATTTACTGCTGAAACACTCGTCCATGCCTTCTGTTACTGCTAGACTCGTCTATTCCAATAGAATAGCACCTCCCTGTGTAGGCGTGGATCCAAAACTCCCTTGGCTGAGTCCTTAAGTTCTATTTGCTTATTACCCATGACCCCTGTCACCTGCAGTGGTTCCTGGTTAAGCAAACTTTGCTTTTAAAATACTCATCCTTTTTGTCCCCCCTAGACATAGTGAGTGGTGGCTAAGGAGGAGAAGCTCTGCTTGGTGAGGCCAAGCTTCCATCTCTCCCCTTTATTTCCCAGCCCCCTCATCTCCAGCCAGTAGGAGTGTTAGCTCAGTTGGCTGGACAGTTGGTTTGCAATGCAGAGATAATACCAACAGAGTGGGTTCAGTTCCTGCACTAAAGTTACCGTGTAGGATTCTTCTCATCCTCTCCCCTCACTTGAAGTGTGGTGACCCTCTGGCAACTTTAACTTTTTTGCATTTCCAGCCATGTGTTTCAAGGTGTAACTAGCTGGGAAATAATGAAATGTACAGGCTGAGAATGTAAGAGAAAAATGTTTTTTTTGTTTTCTTTCTGGGCTGGAGAGCATATTTACAATTGAAAAACCAAAGTTAATTCAGGCACTAAATATAATTTCATGTATTGTCACGAAATGCAGTGGAAGCTATATTTAAATGTGCAGCATCTACAAGGGCCTGGCCTGGCCAGCAATGCTCTGATTCCATTGATTTTTTTTTTTTAAAAAAGTGTTATAGCCTGAGACTATTACAAAATGTTTTACATTGCAATTAAATAGTTTTAAATGTTTTATGGGATATGTTGCTGTGGGCTGAAAATCAAGCTCCAGAGTTATTGCAAATTTAAAAGATTTAGTCCCAAACTATCCAAAAAGTTTACCTGACTGGCAAACTCAGATTAAACTATTCACCAAGTTTCTGCACTCAAGTATTTCAAGCAAATTGTCTTTCAACCGATAGCAGAGAAAGGAGATTGGGAAACTGTTTACCATTTTACAATTTTAAGTACAAATAATTTATATAAATAAAGTCAAATTAAAATAAAGGGAGCAAAGATTTAACAGCAAAATAAAATTAACATCTCTTTCTTTGAAGCTTGGTCTAGTTACTGAATTGAGAGAGTGTATATAGTTTGAGTACTCTAGTACCTCCACACACACACACACACACGAGTTATTTTGATACCTACTTTTTGAACACCAGGTGGTTCTCTGATACATTGCGCTCGCTTGGTCAAGCGGTTCTGCCACAGTTCCCCCTTCAAAACCCATTTTTAAATGGTAGCTACTTGTTCTCTCATTATTTGAGGAAAAATGTATCATTACATAAACTCATTGCCTAGTCTTTTTGTTTTAAAAAAAGAGTCCACAGTCCAAAAATAAAAAGATTGTGGTCTTTGCAGTAGCCAGTTGTTCATAGGGAGATCCCCAGAACAGCACTGATGACCAAATAATCTTTAGTAATATTGGTTGTGGGTGAAATACTGGGCAAGCAGAGTTTGGGACAGTTGGGGTGGGAAATTTCCTTGCTCTTGCTATGTGAGTCTTTCACATCCAGCTAAATAGAAATTATTTAATGCCTTATACAAACCTAAGGTTAGGAGGAAAAGAGAGACACTGAAACCCAAAGCATACAAATTTTAAACAAAAATTAATTCCTTTATTATTTTGAAAGTCCCAGAAGCCTAGTAAACGTCAGTACAAGCGAACAGTGTGTTTCATTCTTGCTGACACCTTGCATCTCTGTATATTACAGCACTCAATGGAGAAAGAATAAAATTAAAGATTCTCAGATAGATGCAAAATAAAAACAACTTGAAGGAAAAGATGAATCCCACACTCTCACTTACAATGATCAAGCATCACATAAAAGCAAGTCAAGAGTGGGGAAACCAGTCAAAACCGCTAAACAGCGATTTTTCTTGTGGGAGGAATAAAGTACAACTATAAACAATCTGTTCAACATACAGTATGATAGAATTTATTCAAGGGTCAGTAGGGAAGGGAAGAAATTGGTTTCCATCATATTGTGCTGATTTTGAATACAAGTAATTTATATAAATAAAACCAAATTAAAATAAAGGGAGCAAAGATTTAACAGCAAAATAAAATGACTAACATCTCTTTCCTTCAAGCCTGGTCTTGTTACTGAATTGAGAATGTATACAGTCTACTAGTAATTCAAAGTCCAAGAAAATCTCCAATATCTCGAGAATTAAGTAAATATTCAGGCTATCAAAACAGCCACTTCACATGAGCTGCACTTCCGCTCTACAAATTGGTAGGAGCACTGAAGTTCTCACATTTAGGAAAGACTTGACAAGTTAGATAATGGAATAGATGTTTCTTCTTCTGGAAAGTCCACAAATACATGAGAGTCACTAATTAGAAGAGCTCAACAGAAACATCTTCCTGGGAGTAGTTTAGGTGAAGCCCAACAGTATGTTTAAGGGAAAGTTGGATAATTAGGCTGAAAGGAAAAGACAGATGAATGGAGGCTTGCAGAGTTTAAATGCCAACAAGGATCAGTTGGGTTATATGATGTGTTTCTGTGTTGTAAATTCTACATAAATAAAACAAAGTGGCAAGAAAATGCCAAAATTAATTGGAATAAAAGTGACTTTTGGGATTTAAAGTGCCTCACAAAGAGCAGATTGTACACGGGTCTGATGGGTTCTAGCCAGAATGGAACTGCACAAAAAACTGCTCTACAGAATCAGCTTCACTCAGGAGTTGGTCATTCCCAGGATAGATCGGAATACATGGTTGGCAGCCTTGGCTGTGGACAGTAGGAGGGGAAAAACTGCAATAATTAAAAGCAGAAACATTATAGAATCCATCTAGGTGAGGGTCAGCTCACTAAAGATCCAGAGGCCAAATCAGAAGGCAGAAGAGGTTCATGAAAAGATTTGTAATTGGGAGATATCTTGTTTTTAGTTTTGGGTGCGCAAGGCAGAATGTCTGGTTAAAAATCAGTTCTAAAAAAAGTGGTTTGGGCACACAGGCATTGGATAATCTTTATCTAATCTGCAAGCAACACTGTCAAGTGCTACAGTTGTATGTAAATTCCATTAAAAAGAAAAACACTTTCAACATTGTGAAGGAACAGCATTACAAATGCAGCATGTCTTTGTTGCCAACAGTCTTTACTCCTCTCCCTGCCACTCTCCCAATACTTCCATTAACTTCAGTAATCCAACTCGAGTTGATCAAACCCTATTCTGTCTATTTAGTGGAGAATGGCTGCTTGATTGCTTTCTATTACGCCTTATACTAATTTGATGTGGAATTAGTCATTAAAACTTTAAAACACGATTGATCTATATTTCTTTTTGTAAATTGTCAGACATCCAAAGTCCCAAGAACAAGAATGTCAGATTGAAATCAAATGCAACAAAAATTCTGCATTTTAGCTAGTCCTGCTTCAAAATATTGATTAAATATAAAATAAGTCAAAACATGGTCAAGGAGATGGGATGTGGGATAGAGGTATGAGATCTGTGATGTTAGAAGTCTATTATAGTGCAACAAGATGAAGACAGGATAAATTCCTCAGGATACTAAAAAGATGAGCACTCCACTCCCTTGGTGATCCTTCTAAAGACTAAAGTTTATAATTTCTTCTCAAACCCCAACTCCCACACTAATAACTCTACCCTTCACTGTAAAGATGCAGCAAGTGCTAATGAGCGACATCCAAATTCTGGGGGGTTTAACAAAAACAGAATTAAAACAATTCCAATAAAATTCTCATCATCAGTAAACTTGGAGATGTGACAATGGGAAAACGAAGGAATGTGGACAAATCTCTTGAAGCTCTAGTGTCAAGGGAGAATTATCCCAACACTGACCAATTCCAGAAGGTGGGTTGTGCATGAGTTGGTGAGGTTTGAAAGTGTGTGGGCAACATGCAACACGCTTTTGTTGTTGAGAAAAGTGCAACTTGACAATAACTGCCAGCTGAGAAACAAACACAATAAGTGATTCTATTGTGCTACAAAACTCAAAAAAAGGGAAAAAAAACAGCAGCAATCTGGATCACTGTACGAGTGCAACAAACAAAGAATGTAAATTGGTACCAAGTCAGGCCTAACTAAATTAGTATTGCCCATGCTACAGGAGGGAGAAATCAACAGGCCAACAGAAGAATACAGAAACTAGGGCTGATAGCTCAGTCAGTAAAGGCAGTGCACTAGAGCCTTACAGATCCCAACACTATTAATATGCTCACCACACTGTCAAATGATCCCAGAGACTGCTCTCTTGTACTGTAAATTCTCTAATATGCTCCCCACACATCACTGCTTTTGATTACTCATTTCTTTCAAACAAACCAGGCTGAACCGATTACTTCAAAACCCCGGTGGGGTGTTGCTTTCAGGTACTTTTTCATTCACAGGAGGTCCTTGCCACAATCAATTGTGTCCCGAACACCTTCGCATGGGTTTCCAGCCTGATCAGCTTGTGGAGTGACAGTAAAACCATGGGTGAATTGTAGAATCATAATGTCACAGCCGAAATTGGAAACCTGAAGACCAGGATGAACTAGAGCCTTGCCCTGGCCATTCCCTTCGGGATTGGGCAGTGATACTCATTTCTGTCAAGGGCTGTGTCTTCATGTGGACACCTAAACTGGGTTCCAAAACAAAAGACCACAGCATTCCTAGCTCGGGTTTGAGGCGGCACTGAAACAGTGTGTTCAACTATACCATGCTATGAGCATTTAAGCAAATTCCTTCAGGTAGCCTGCAAGGCTCGTGCATTTTCTTTTGATTTGAACCCTGGCCATTTCTCTCATCCAGGAGCATTGCAGCCAACAGCAGCCTCTCTCCAGCTGAGTTCAGATTACCAAGCACAGGGAACCTTATGCTACCCTCATCTGGCTTGGAGGCCACAGCAGGACTGCACAAGGGTAGTTTGGGACTGTGGCCTTTCACAGTTCTTATATTGCTGCTGGGGCCACAGGAAGATATGCCTCATTGTGAATCAATTACAGTGGGTACACTGCTTCCCCAGTCTCTAGCAAATGGCAACTAACCAGAGCTGCCAAATCATGTGAATAGCAGAGGGAGTAAGACAGGGTGCAATCATATTAAACAATATGTAGAGTGGAGACAGACATCTAAAGATTACCAAAAAAAAGTATCACTTTTCATTAAAGCAAGAAGGTGGCAGAAAATTAACTGCCTGCAGTAAACGCCCGATATAGGGGATCTCTACTTATTGGTGCAGTACTCCCATTGTGTGACAAAATCTCAGCAGGGCAGTATCTAGCACAATAATACGGAAACCAGGAGATCTGCTGAAAGGCTCACATGAGCTGTACTTCTCTTAAAGCAGAGGCTGCTGAAAATAGTTAGAGTGGTGCTGAGGAATATGCTGGGCTTGGGAGACCATTGGGTATCCAGCAGCTGGAGGTCCACTGACAGTAGTGTTCTGATAGGCAGGCATATCGTTACTCAGTCCTGGTTGCGCTGTGTAGGGAGCTGCTGGTCCAGTTGTCACCTGAAGGCTTGCTGCTTGAGTCATGTAGACTTGTGGTGGTCCGGTGCTGTTTAACAAAATTAGAAAGAAACATCTTTTTGAAAAGAGAGTTGACTTCAAGTAAATGTGGTGCAGTCAGTTAATCAGAAATATTATTAATAGCATACAGTACAAAAAAGAGAGTAAGTTATAGTCAACTGATGTACAGTATTGTGTCGTGTTCTTCTTTATTTATTCTTCACATTAGAGAGATGTTTTATTCTTTCACTTGATGTGGGTGTCACTGGCTGGACCAGCACTTGTTGTCCTTTTTCCCTGGAGAAAGAAGACGGTGGTGAGCTACCTTCTTGAACCGCTGCAGTTCATCAGGGTATCGCAGTTTAAGAAAGGCATTAACTCATTAAGGATACTATAGAAAAAATTCTCAAGAATGTTTCCAGGGATGAGGACCTTGAGTTACGTAAGTAGATTGGGGAAATCAGTTTTCTCCATGGAGAAGAGAAAGTTGAGTGGTGATGTCATAGACATAACAAAATCATGAGGGATCTGGACAAGAGTAGGCAGCGAGAAACTTCCAATTGGTGACAGGGTCAAGAACAAGAGGGCACAGGTTGAAGGTAAAACTGGCAAAAGAAAACAACGGAAAGAAGAAGAACAAGTGGTTAGGATCGAGAAAGCATTGAGAGTGTGTCGAGGCGGCAGTTTTAGAGGCATTCGAAAAGCAACTAGATTATCATCGATAAAGGAAGACCGTGCAGGGATAAAGGAAGACCGTGCAGGGATAA